CATGGGTTCATCAGTTTCTGATCAATTCACAGAACTTGAAAACCTGATGGACCTAGTTGCTCTGTGGGAATCCTTCAAGTGCGAAACACTCAAACCACCGCAGGAGTCCACTAGTATACGCCTGCGGGCAAGGCAGAACTTCATCTCCCTAGAGACATTGTAGGCCACTGAAGCCTGTTGCATGGCTTTGCTGAATGGCAATCAAGACTTGCACTGCTCTTTGGTGCACATCCTATATGAGTCTCTGGAGTCACTGTTGGCAGCCCTTGATGCATTTAGCAGTGAAGTGAAGCCCTTGGCCTAGAGGTCTCCTGGACCAAGACCAAGATTTAGGATTTGGGGGCCTGTTAGGGAAACCCATTCAGTCAATCCATGCTTGCAGTGAGGACAATGAAGTCACTGAATCCTTGGTGCTATCTACAGCCTTGGAGTCTTGTCTTTGCCAGATCATAGGGAACAGTTGGCAACTATGTGTCCAACTGACGGCCACACCATGAGACTGGCATGGGACCTGTTACTTGCTTAATCCGTGATCGTCATTTCACTTAGCTTGTTTCCCTGTGGATGTTTCCCAGGTTGTCTGTCTGCGAGACAATCCTGGGTAGAGGAGGCCCATGGGATAACCTAGGAGGTAATGGCTTAGGCAGCTACACGAGACCTGTCGCAAGGAGTTAGAGATGGGCTGAGGGCTTGCCTGGAGATTCACCATGAGAGACCCTTGTGACTGGAGGTAAAGGGTGGATGTGGCCGTTGCCGTTAGCCCCTTGATGATGATGATGATGAATACATATATATATATATATATATATATATATATAGTATATATATATATATATATATAAAGTCATATAATATATTTATATATGTATATATATATATATATATATTTAGAAATATATTATATACATATATTTAGAAATATAATACAGTAAGTTCCCTACTTACGAACATTCTACTTACAAACATTCCATACATACGAACATATTTTTTTAAATACATAAGTCAAAAAAATTGTTTGAAAGATGCTAGCAAACTTCAAATTTCCCAGGTGCAAATATAGTTCATGAGTCTGCCATGCCGTGGCACTGCCGCGCTCATTCAGTTGTGCGCATCACTCGCTTCAGTCGCCTGCCCTCTGGCCATAAAAACGAAAGCATCTGTTCACTGTGTCCTCGTGTACCGCCAATTTTTGTGCCATAATTTACCTGTGCATCAATCCATCAAAAATATTTATTGTGATTTATGTACAGGTATTCTTAATGTAAACAAAACTTCAAAACAATGGGAAAAAAGGCAATGGAGACCTGACTTTGGATATACGAACAAATGGAGTTATGAACAGCCTCGAGGTCCCCAATATATTTGTAAGTTGGGGACTTTCTGTATATATATATATTTAGAAATATAATATGCATACAATACATACTTATATATACATATAGAAATATAGACATAGACAGATTCTGACTGATATATAGTCAAGTATACTGACTCATAGATTAGATTGAGAGACAGGCAGATAGATACAGCTAGAGATATAGACAGATATTAATAACAACAAAGAAAAGTGAACTTACTCAAAGCACACACATTTCTTTTCTCCACAAAAGCTATGTTGGTTAAGGTCACAAACATATGCTGAACCATTCTGTATATGGCAGGGCTCCATGACTTTCTGGTACAATACTACAGAATGTAAACAACAAAGACAGCCATTACATATTTTAAGCCACAGAAAAAAATAATAAAGTGATAAATTTAATATTTTCTTGCATCTATGCCTCATTTAGAATTTGACATACTGAACAATCACATTATTTCTATTCTATTTACTATTGACAAATTTGCTTTTAGTATTATCATAAATCAGATTTAATACATGCAGATTTACTTACATAATTACACATTAATGTTTATATTGCCTAAAATTTATAAGTTTCACACAGTAAACTAGCAGTTGCTTTCTAAACTTGATTTATAACTGCAGACAAAGATATAATCAAAACCAGTCAAATGCATTTCTACTTTGAAGATAATAATTCTTATACCTTTTCAAGACCAAGTCATGAAGGCTTAGTGATTGATTTCAGTACTTAGGCTATATGCATGCAGACAAAAACAATAAAACAAAGCCAAAATGATTAGTACAAGTATATACATGTGATTCATTGTATATTATGTGTATTATCTTACAGTATGTGAAATCATGTTAATCTGTAAGGTTTATGAGAACTGAGAAAATGCAGTGGTTAATAACTTGCCATGAAAGTACTATGTCAAGTGCTCTTTCAGATAAATTTGAAACTGAACAACAAAATAAAGCGTTTATTTTAACAATGTCTCGATAACTTATCTTCCTTACCTTTTCGACAATCTGTGCCAACAAACTCATACCCATCATCACACTGACATCCTTTATCACTTAAACACTTGCTATTTGGTGGACATTTTCCCGGTAAACTTTCACAGTACTTTGTCATTACTGTAAAATACAAAGATT